TAACTGTCAATCGATAGCCAGTTTATTGACAGCTTTTAGGCCGTTCAGACCGTTTTACGTGGTTTTGGAATAATTTAGATGGTCTATTTTTGCTGCCTGAAATAGGTAGTTTTCAACCGTTTAAAAACTACCTAAAAACAGTCAATAAACCATGTGTTTGTGAACCGAATTTTCACGAGAGGCTTGACCGCGGAAAGTCAGTTTACTGCTGCTTCTAGACAGTTTTTTAAAAGATCTAAAAGCGTCCTTTTTAATGGTTATAAATAGACGCTTTTCAGACAGTTCGAACTATCAACTTCCGGCCGTAAAACAGTTTGCAGCAGAACAGACCGTTTTTAGGCTATTTTTAGACAATTAATTGTCAAGAAATGCTTTAGTGACATTTATTTTCCTCAACACATACCTGAAGAAACAACTGCCTAATCGATCTAGCTTTGTAGAAGGCTTTTAGCTCGTTATGATTCATTCCACCATGTTTTACTCGGACTTTTCTTCGAGAACATGGTGAAATCAATTTTGAAGATTTTCGTCAATCAGACGATGCTTTCATCACGCCATAATCTCTCTATCCGAAAGGAAAAGTCAATATTAACAGAGTCAGAGAAAGTACACAGCAATTTCGGCCTGCTGTTCTTCTACTGTACATAAATACCTCCTAGTGTCCATAATCATAATGTTGAACTATCTGATTTCTGATAAGCTGTGAATGTTTTCTTTTCAGAAACATTTCTTGCGCATATCGATTAAGTTCTTCCTCGCAGTGTTTCTCAGTTCTAGATCAATATTTGACTGAAATCTGGTCTCAAAATAAAAGTGATAAAGGCTGATGCCTTTTAGTCCATTCACTTGAAAGTTTTACCGATAAGGTTACGTTTGTCGTAGATGAAGCGTTGAGCGTTGATGCTTGGACTTTCAGAAAACGTCTACGCGTGGCTATTGGCGCTCGTTCAATTCGTTGCTAGAGTCAATCTAGCATTGTGTGAATGAGGTAGTTTAGCTTAGCACTCAATCCGCTGTGTATCGAACACAACTGAGCTGATGTTCGCCACATTCTGAAAGTCACTAATGACAAAGTCATTTTACACCGAGGATGCTCACATTTGTGAAGACATCAGACTTTGAGGCATTTTACTTCTGTGCATTTTTATTTTGAGATCTTGCACAATCGCTGTGTTTAACTGAATCCATACAGAAGAGATATCTTAGATTTTATGCATTATTTGGGAACAATAACCCGTACGTATAAAGAGGTCCTGTAATATGATCCAAGAAGGATATAGTTCAACTCTATGACTGAGGAGAAATTAGACGGATTTATTTCTCTTAATTCAATTTTTCTCTCTCTCGGAAGTTGCTATGTACTTGCCTTGTAAAATATTTCATCTTTTTTTTGGAATAGTTCCTTTGAAAAACGAACAAAAACATACATAATTTACAAAAAAAAACGATGAGAAACAGTCTCGCACTATGTTAAGAAAAGATGAAGTATGTGTTTATCAAGATCACCCTAGTGAAACGTCTTGTACCCAAGATTAAGAAAGGTCACAAGTTCTTGGATTCTCGAATCTTTTACTCAAGACCTTGAAACATCTTGGCTTCCTCTACACAAGATCTTGGGAACAGAAATTTCAAGATTTAGATCTTGGATTCTTGCATCTTCCACTCAAGGCCTTGGGAACAGAGATTTCAAGATCGTGAGTGAATCCACTCAAGCTGTTGCAAGAGCTTGAGTGACAAATTTTCTTTTGTTTTGTTTTTTTATTTATGACAGTCATGTCTATCGGATATACGGCCATATAGAGTTATAGGTTCTTCCTTAAACACCTATGGTCAAGAAGCAAAAATATTTTAAGTTATTCTAAGTGTGAAAATATTCGCACTTATATTTATACAGAATGTACAAGAGTGTAAAAGAAAACGATAATTCAAGAATTTCCAACATCTTGGTACAAGAAATCAAGAAATTACAAGATGTTCAAGGTTTTGACTTCTTGAAATTTCTTGAATTCTTACATTTTCTTACCAAGATCTTGGTTACAAGAAGTTTCATTACGATAAGGTTCTAGTCTATATCTTTCTTTTTTTAAAAACATTATTATATAGAATACACATATGTATATATACACACGTCTCTTCCGCTGTTTATATACATCACGTATCAAAAAAAACAATGTGGATGGAAACACGAAACTATATAATAAGATTATCTTACACTAATATTATCACATATTATGTGAAAATAGAAAAGAAAAGGAAAAATACGCTTATGTTAATATTCGATACAATTATAATAAAGTATGCGCTTGATCGCAAGAAGATCCAGTGCATACATTTCTTGAGTCAAGTATATGACTTCCGAAAATCTGTGTTTTACACGGGCAGGAAATGTCTCCACACCGTGAGATTCTTGCTCAAGAAATTCATGTGCTTGAGACAAAAAAGCGCCACTAGGGTTATATATAGGCTGTTTTTAGAATGAAAACTTTTTTAGACCTGATTTTTGAAGATTTAAAGACGGTCAGTAAATTGGACCATTTATAGGCCATTTTCAAACCGTTAACAGGCTGTTGTTAGGCAGACGGTGAATTGGTTGTTAATGGGCAATTTATTGGCTTTAATGGATGATTTATTGCTCATCTTTTTTAGCCTGAGTGGTATGAGAAAAGATTTAAACATGATCAAGCAACGTTTTCTCTGCTAAAGCTTTCGATGATATAGATTATTTTTTGAGATAAACTTTTTATGGTTTACCTCACTACTTGACTTCTCTAAATTGGCAATCAAAGGACTATTTGGATTTTTCTATATACTTCCGAAATGCATTTATACCAAAAATAATTTGTGATTGAGAGTTACGTATGTTTGCGAGTTTGTAAAAAAAGACAGAAGTTTTATTTTTATTCGATTTTTGTCTTTTACTCGTTAAAATCTGTAAAAAACAAACTTATTTCACTAAAGAAGAATTTAAAATCCAAGCTATATAGTGCCATTTTGTACACATCCGATGAGTTTGTGCCATCTGCTTCGACTACACAGTGTCATGCGCATGGATAAAAACTCTAATTATCAAGGTATCTAACAAAGTTTTTTTAGATCGCGATAGAAATTGAACTTTAGTAAATGACTTTATTAATAATTTAATCCAATATAACAATTTCATTGCACTACAAAGTGATATCCCTTAAAAAGATTAATAGAAATATGAGTTACTATTGCTTGCTCCTGATATATTGTTCTCTTATCTTTTATCAGATAATAATTTATTGACTAAAAGTCTGGTAAGATCTCGTTTTCCCTTTGAGTTTTGTTTATCTTGTTGTTGTTCAACTTCTGTAATACAACATGTGAGATCCTTCTTGCATATTGTTGAATGTTTGGCACAAATATATTTTGTACGATTATTAGTACAACAACTTCTATCTTTTATAAGTCCTCCACAAGATTCATGAAGTTTTGCACACGAATCTGCCGATCTGAACCGTAAAAGTAAGATGGTAGACATTAAAAATAGTATGTTTGGTTTAATCATTCAATACTTACACTGCTATACTACTGATTATCAGTAGTGCAATCAAAATTGTTATTCTTTGCATATTTTTCTGTTATAATCGAAGAATAATATTTTTCTAAAATCACATAATAATTAGAAGTCATTCTACAGAATTTTAATTTAATTAAAAGCTTTGATCATTCGGATAGAAGAAGAAAAAAACCTATTAATGTAAAACATCTATATAACAGTTCGATTAGCCATGCTTGTCTTTATGTAACACATTCGATGTATAAGACAGCGAATATAAAAAACAAGTATACGTTAGACAAAGAAAAACAAAAATAAAGTAAGTACAAATCTACCATTTTATATAGGCGAAAATAATAACCTGTGCTACCAAATGAATCATACAACGTAAAAAATGATTCGTTTGATCTAGAATAAATATTAATCGACTAAATTCAGAACAATGAATAATTTCAAAAGTTAATAATAGGCATTTTTCAGGTATTAGTGAATGAGTGTATAAAACGATTCTACAGATGCAAGTATTGGCTGTTCTCTCAGCTTTTATTTTATTTTTATTTCTGTTCTTTATCTATATTTAAATTATCAACGAACAATACAAGACTATTTTCTTGGTAACTTTCTTACAAGATTCTTCTTTCAATTTTTTATTAAATTTTATTTTTCTTGTTAAAAATTTTTGATCGAATTGATAGAATACTAATCGATACTTTAATCACCAATCTTTTTTGTAAACTTTTATTTACAGTAATATGTTATGCATATAAAAGAAAAATGCATAGAACGTCTGTTTTCAATATGGAGCCCATTGAAACATTATTTTATAGTTTTCTTTGTCAGGATGTGACTAATCATCTATACATTCAGAAAAGAGAATCAGCTGCTGTTTTTTTTTCCTATAGTAGTAGACCTTTATTCTCAAAAAGAAAAGAAATTTGATTGATAAACAATTGAGCTCTATTATATCATTGTTGTACAACTTGTCTACTGAATGACAAGAAGATACAATAGATGACATAGATGTGTTGTGAGTTTTCGGTATCTGTTGTACATCGTCCTTTGATCAAAAAAGTTTACTCTGTAAACTGGCATTGCAATTTTATCATTCACTCAGAAATCATAAAGTCAGAGAAATTTTAAAAAGAGTTTTTTAGAAACCACGAAAATCTTGATATTGTATGATGTTGCAATTGTAAAACCTTGATGTAGATTTATAGTTGATCAGAAAACTATGCTGCAAATGGTAATATAACTTTTTCTGAAAATCAATGAGATCCCCCACTTCCCCCCCTTCGTACATGTTTTAGATTTGATTTGTTTCAAGATTATCGAAATTTAGTAGTTCGAATAAATTATGGCAAGGTTATGATGAGGTTTATTGAAAATAATGAAAAATAATAAACTAAATAAATATATTAAGTTAAAAAGAAAAATAGGTAGCATATACTGTGTACTTCAGCTTTCATTTCTAAAACTAGTTCTATTCTTGAGGAGTTTGTTGAACACCTGGAGGTGGAGCATAGTTTGGTTTATTCCTATAAATTAATAAGAAGAAAAAAACATGTTTTCAAAATAGTTTTGTAATAGTTTTAAAATTTTTTACTTATAATGAATTACTGTCTAAATAAATCAGTCAGATTATCATCGTAGAGTTTACACATACAACTAACTCCAATTTTAAATACGTCTTTGTAAAAGAACTCATTTAGAACTAATCCATTTCATTTAAACCTCGATGAATCTAGGAGTTTTAATTCTGAAAATTTTTAGTTTATAAACAGTGTCTATCATGAAGTAAGAACGCTATATTGAATTAGTATGTAACTTTATTAAAATATGAATTGTGTAGTACATTATTTCTTATGGAGAAGACAGAAGCGCAAAAACCATTATTCTATAGCCTCATTTTACAAAAGTGCCGATATTTTTTCAATGGAATAATGTGTTACTAAAAAAGTTTATTTCCATAGAAAAGTAGACCGTCAGTTTTTCACACTGATATGCTAATACGATACCTCTATCTTAAATGATGTAAAAAAAAATTAAAATTCATCAGATGTTTCAAATTTTTCTATTTCTGTGACTGTGGTAATATTTAACTTAATGTTAAATGCAACTTTAAAATCATATTCAAGCAGACTACAAGAATGGGAAAAAATATTTAGCTCTTTCGACGACCGATTAAAACCAGAATGATGCCTCATTTGAAACAGATAACTCCTAGACAAAAATGTTTAAAGACATCAAATGTACAGAAATGATCAAGTCTGTTGTAATAATAAAATAATTTAAAATTGGAGATGGTTTTGTAAAACTTCAACAAAGATTTCGTTAGTCTTATTAGTAACACTATTAAAAAATATCGGTTACATACGTGAGTGATTCTTTGTTTCCAAAGCGTTCACCAGAATCCATGGCAAGTGTTCCAGCTCCTTGACCAAAACCAACACCTCTAAGACCATATTTACGACCATAACATTGTCTACAAAATAGATTTCCTTCATGCGAAGCCATTGTCATTGCTTCTAACATCTTCTTACATAAACCTAAACAAATGTAGAATAAAAAATAAAACAACTACTTTTTTCAAACTTTTTGCTTCGCTAAAATCCAAAACTGTTTTGGATTATTCCTTAATCGCGGTAGGAGTTGAATGCTGATTGAATAAAATCTTTTGATGATTAAATAGATACAATTCGACTAAGAAGACTCAAATCATCAGATCGAAGAACATTAGAGATGTGCACAACTTTCCATGCCCGTATCCTTCCCGTACCCAACCACATTGCATCCGTTCTCGACAACCTTCTGTCCGATATTCATCCATCGGGTAGGATACACGTCGAGCTGTGCACCTGTAGAGAGCATGGGAACGGTACTAACGTTCTGAACTAAAGGTAAATTATACCTTTAGGTCCAGTGAAGCTATCGTAGATCAAATAGTGAGAAGCAAATTACATGCTAAGTAATAACACGAATTTTTAAATACGTACCACATTTAAAACAAGTCTTATGCCATTTTTTACCAGCAGCCGGTATTGCTTCGGCATGATAAACTGGTTTGTCGCATCTTGGGCAACGGTCAGGTTCTTGTGTTCCGATTGGCATCTGAAAAAAAATAAGAGACGATATTTATAGAGAGGAATAAACCACGATCTAGCTAAATGTAATGTACATTGCAAGTGTCATAACCAGCCATATGAAAATGACTTACTTGTTTTTCATGCAACAATCCAGGCGATGGAATGCTATTAGAATCAACTATGTTGAGAAACCTTTTTGTTGGTCTCCCAGAGAGATAAAAAGTTTCTGTTTTTTGCCTAAATACTTAGACGAAAAGTTTTTATTCCCAAAATACGTCTACCTATACTACCATTTGCGCAGTTATTTTTCATAAGTTCCGAATATCATCCAAATTAATGAACAAAAACGCATCTGTACATTTAAAAATTACACTATTTTATTCATCCTAGTTTTGAATATATACGACAATTACTTAATCGACATTCAATAACTCATAACAGGAGCTTTAACTGGAAACATCTCAATGAGTTCCAACGAGAATCAAATTTTACAAATGTTTTGAGTTGTTGAGAAGATATTCATGTTGAAACGAAGATCAACGTTCTTTTTCAAAGATTTCAAC